AAGGTACGGTAATACGAGCAACAAAAACGTCCAACTTGTCTCGCAACATTGCTGAAAAACAAGTTTAAAAGCGATGCTGCGCGTTTTACTACCAGCGAACCAACTTGTCTCGCAGCAAAACAATTTGTTGCAAGTTGAATTAGTTTAGATTTCTTATTGGCTAAAAACATCACCTGATGTTGGCTTGCGCGCGCTAAACGTCATTTTGCTGCGAGACAAGTTGGGTTGCTGTGGTAATACGAGCAACATCTACAAGTTTTGTTGCAAAAAGTACAACCATCTTCTACTTTCTGCAACAAACTTTTTCAACTTGCAACAAGCCATTTTGACGCGAGACAAGTTGGTACGCGCGTAGAAAAAVGAGCAACATCGCTTTCCAACTCGTTTTGCATCAATGTTGCGAGACAAGTTGGACGTTTTTGTTGCTCGTATTACCGTACCTTAATATATAGGTTACTTCATGGAATCCCGTGCGATTTTTTTCACGAGATGTTTGTATCATATAAAGAACGAGCGCCGAGAACGATCRGTGCTTACACGTTTCTTTCCCCTGGTGAGTTTYTGCTGGTATCAGATGAGATTGCTGCACTGTGTCATGAGTAGTGGTATGCACACATTCACTATAAAAGTGAATCTGACCGTTGAGATAAATGTCCAAGGCTGACTGTCGCTGAGCTGCGATATGACACGTTCAACGTTTCAAAGCTTTCTGAATATTGAAGTCGGCCGTCACGGTGAMGTGTATTGTGATCGGAATTATTGCGCCTAAAAAAGGATTAAATCATGAAAATCAATGAGGATTTAATAATTTTGATATTATTATTAATAATAATAATAGATTGTTTTAGTATTATTCAGGGCCAATAAAGTATATAATCGGATCTTCATAGAACTGATGTTAAAACAAAAATATAACAAAAATAATAACGGTAACAAAAATAACAGGAAGCGTTACACATACCTAGTAAAGATGAAGAATATCAAAAGTAGAAGAGCCTTTAAATACAATCGAGAAATCAGTATTTTTTATACAGCTATAATTCTAAAMCCCCATTTTTACATGACAAATTTCGATATATATCAAAGTTGCCTCAGAAGTTATGGGATACCGTCGCTGATATTTTTAAAGAAAAATGCTCGYACYGRACAACTCAAAAAAGCGCCGATATTCAATATTTTGGAAGGTCATTTTGATACATTTGAAATATGGCAGAGGGGTCAAAATTAGTGAAAATTTCTGTATATCTTTTTTGTCAACAAATTATTATTTTTTTCACAGAAGATAAAACATTTTTTTCGCCAGTATATAATGTATTACTTTATCATATGACCCGTATTTCGGCCCTACGCGCGCTCTCACTGAAATTTTTGGAAAATGGTCACGTGATGCGGGTCCGTACGCCTTTTCGCGACAGGTCCGTACAAACCCGTATTTTCCCGGCTTGAAGTTCCGCGCGCTTTTATTTATTTTTTTACATTAAAAAACGCTGTCATGTGATCAAATGCTTATTGACTGAGTTAGGTCGGGCCGTACGGGAAAATATTTGGCTCTCGGTCATTTGTACGGCATAAACTCGAGCCAAATATTTTCCCGTACGGCCCTCCCACTCAGTCAATTATAAGTATATAATATATTAATATAATTCTGGACCCAGCAATCTTATATTAAACGTCCAATAAAATGGGTATACTGATAGATACGTACCTTAAACAACACAGCAAATCCCATTATCTGAAACACAAAGATTCTTTCTGTCAAAAACACATTCTGTACCAGCCAATAGCCGGCTTGTTGTCACTAAGCCAATGTATAAACTGACATAACATCAAACTAATCTTGTTTTTTGGCCCGCGTGCGGCCCACATGCATCCTAGAACCTTTACGGTAGCTTAAACAGGATCATGCAGGAGTTTCCTCTGCGCCAAGAGTGTTCGAGTTTTAAAACCCGTTGTTGCGGAGCTTCGTAACAGAAGTATCAAGCTGGTTAATTACTTGGAAGTTCTACCTATAAACGGGGTGATCAGATGGATGCAAGAACTGTTGTCAATGTATTGGAATCACTCGGTTTCTTTGTGAATCTAGAAAAGCCATCTCTCATCCAATCGAAAACAAATACTTATCTGTGATTTGTCATTAATTTTGTGGAGATAACAGTGTCTTTACACAGCGGCAAAATTTGATAACTTATGCACCCTTATTACATAATGTAAAACTTAGGTAGCACCTAATAGCGGAGCTCCAGTATATGTAGAAAAGAATGATTATCTAGTACTCCATTTCAATTCAAGGATAGCCTTAGTAGAGGTACACTGTTTCACGGAATGTAAACAGAACATCTTTTATTAAACAAATACTTATTAAATCCATACAAAAGAAAGATTAAGTTTAAAAGAATTTCGTACTCTGAATTCATTGACTATGGTAGATTTTGTTCATTTGGACGAACGAACTTATTATAACTTAATCAATCAATCTGTGTATCAATTGATTTAACTTCAAACAGTCTACATACAAGTAATCAAAGATAGACACGGCAAAGGACATAGGCCGCCCAACTATTGAATGAGAGAGAGAAAAGAACGAATGTGTAGGCTTTTATGTTATCGGCTCGCGCTCTTAGCAAAATGCGGATCACCTGTGTTATTACGTCACGGTCCCGTCCCTCGCGGATCTACACTAATCTATAAAACACAGGCCACGTGATTGATCGATGTGTGCATCAGGTAGCTTTACACTTTCGGAAAACGAAGATTCGACGGATAGGCGAACTTTCACCGAAGGTAGGGCGGAAAAATATGGCGTGTGATAATTTGTCGTCAGAAAGTACGTAGCAGTGCTATTAAAATACTTTTTCGTCYTTAGCACGGATTGTTTTTTTTCCTGCAAGCCGCGGTCCCCTACTCCACCGCAACTCGGCGCTACACCCTCGGTTTGGTGAGCATATTTTTACACACACCATGGGATGGTTCGTCATAATAACTTCGGTGGTYTAGACAAAACTCAAAGTTTGACGGAGAAGCCAACAGATTCGTTAACAAAATGGAAAATATGGTAAGTAGTTTTGACAGAGTTTGATGGTTTTTCGTGACGAAGTTGTCCGCCGTTGTCAAAACGATTTTCTTTTTGTAARAACTTGTCGAGTCACACACTTGCTGGAAACGATTGATCACTTGTGACCGTGATTTGGATTTGATTGAGTTTATCTTWCACATGAATAATACATTGTGTAAGATTGTGTAAAAACACAATGGTGCGTGTAAAAATGTGCTCGCCAAACCGAGTGTCTTGCGCCGTGTGGCGGTGGAGTAGGGGACCTCGGCTTGCAGGGTTCACCGAAAGAGACCGAAAATCGTTCTAAATCACTCTTAACCTCCGCTGARCGTTTTTCTTTGACATTAAGATTTACACGAAGAGCTGGAAAAATGGTTGGTGGTGGCTATGGCGAGATTTTTCGGTTCAATTTGGACAAGAAGATGCAATTTTTGTATGAAAAAGTTAAGTGAACATTGKATGTTTTCGAGCCGGTCTGTGTCCTGCCTTTCAGTGATATAAGTATAGAGGGGGAGATATCATRAAAAACGGCAAGTTACGCTTTAAGTCAGAACTAAAACCCCATCACAAGGTGAAAAAAWGTTCAAAAAGTTCATATTTACATACATTATAGATATCGCTAAATCAGCTAGTCAAATGCTTAGCTTGGGTTGCCTGTGTTTTTTCTTAGC